TTTATAAACTGTTTTGTTTATATAACTTGACTCCTTTATTAAACTACAAGATAGTTATTATAAAATTATAAAAGAAAAATGTTAAATCTATTCAAACCAATTAAAATTGTCAGGAATAAAAATTTGAATTTATTGTTTTAGTCAAAAATATTACGTTCTGATAATAATGATAACCTATACATTTAGAGCTAAGAAATAGTCATTAAAAAAATATTTGATAAATACTATTTCTATAGATATGGACAATTTTGATTATAATTTTAAATGTTTAAGACATAGTTAGTATCAAACTATCAAAGGTACAATAAAATAATAGTAAATGTATTAGAATGAACAGCGAAAAAATTTTGTTTTTCTACATTGTACAATACTCGATATTATTATACAACATACGTCGTGTTATTATTCAATTTATCTAGTTCTCATGAATCCAGTTAATATATGTTAGTAATTTGACAACCGAATAAACGGATGACAATGAAAAATATTTCCGCGCCTCGTAGAGCAAAGATTTATCCACAGGGCATTCGAAACAAAAAAAGAATGTATTTTTTTCTCGTCTTTATTGTAATGTAAATAATTATAATAATAATAAAAATGGTTTCATATTTTCAGGAGTGTTCTAATCTTAATAATATAATATAATATCTTAAAAATACCATGAGAATGAAAAATAACAATTTAATTATACATAGAAAGAGCCGTCCTGAAAGCGTGCGTCTATTATTGTAACCTTCTGCTAGAACACCTGGCAAAGGATTACAATATAATATGTGAACCGGGAGTAAAAAAAAACGCGTTGCGTTTTCATGCGTTTTTATAAACTCCTTATGAATTGGAATATTATCGAGCCATTATATGTAATACATTTATACATAATATAATATCAGAACTATATTAAAAAGTGATAGAAATGTAAAAATATTGTTTTAAATTACATTAATAACATTTTAAAAGAAATAATAAGAATTTTTTCATTATATATACATGTAAATGTACAATTACTATAATAAAGTGTAAACTCGATTAAAAACCTGTATGTTTAATGGATGAATTATATGATTCCATTTAAAGCGTTATTTTATTTTTTATACTTATTGTGTTTTAAGTAATGAAACTGATAACTTGATTATAACTAGGGTTAGAATGTTTATGACTTTTGCATATTTTTTCTTTTAGTCGTACACATTACAAACCCAATAATAAATTCGTTTTATATGGCATA